AGATAATTTTTCTGTTTGATTGCTTGTTTGTTTTTGAGACAGAGTTTCACTCTTGTTGTCCAGGCTGGAGAGCAATGGTACAATCTCAGCTCACCGCAACCTCCACCTTCCGGGTTCAAGCAATTCTCCTGCCTCAGCCTCCTGGGTAGCTGGGATTACAGGCGTGCACCACCATGCCTGGCTAATTTTGTATTTTTAGTAGAGATGGGGTTTCTCCATGTTGGTCAAGCTGGTCTTGAACTCCCACCCTCAGGTGATCCACCCGCCTCGGCCTACCAGAGTGCTGGGATTACAGGCATGAGCCACTGCACCCAGCCAGGAGAACTTTTAAATTTCCATCTTGATTTTGTTTTTGACACACTGCTCATTCAGGAGCAGGTTATTTAATTTCCATATATTTGCATGGTTTTGAAGGTTCCTTTTGGAGTTGATTTCGTTTTATTCCATTGTGGTCTGAGAGAGGGCTTTGATAGAATTTTAAATTTTTAAAATTTATTGAGGCTCATTTTGTGATTTATCATATGGCCTATATTGCAGGAAGTTCCATGCACTGTTGAATAGAATGTGTATTCTGTGGTTGTTGGATGAAATGTTCTGTATATATCTGTTAAGTCCATTTGTTCCAAGGTATGGTTTAAATCTATTATTTCTTTGTTGTCTTTCTGTCTTGATGACCTGTCTAGTGTTGTCAGTGGAGTATTGAAGTCCCCCGCTATTATTGTGATGCTGTCTATCTCATTTCTTAGGTCTATTAATAGTTGTTTTATAAATTTGGGAGCTCCAGTGTTAGGTGCATATATGTTTGGGATTGTGATATTTTCCTGTTGGACAAGGCCTTTTACCATTATATAATGTCCGTCTTTGTCTCTTTTAACTGCTGTTGCTTTGAAGTTTGTTTTGTCTGGTATAAGAATAGCTACCCCTGCTTGCTTTTGGAGTTCCTTTGCGTGAAATGCGTTTTTCCACCTCTTTACTTATGTCAGTCCTTCTGTGTTTGGTGAGTCTCCTGAAAGCAGCAGATAGTTGGTTGGTGAGTTCTTATCCATACCACAGTTCTCTATCTTTTAAGTGGAGCATTTAGACCATTTACATTCAATGTTAGTATCGAGATGTGAGGTACCATGCCATTCATTGTACTATTTGTTGCCTGTGTACTTTGGTTTTTTTGGTTTTTGCTTTGCTTTTTAAATTGTATTTTTGTTTTATAGGTCCTGTGTGATTTATGCTTTAAAAATGTTCTGTTTTGATATGTTTCTAGGATTGTTTCAAGATTTAAAGCACCTTTTAGCCATTATTTTAGTGGTGGCTTGGTATTGGCAAATTCTCTCAGCATTTGTTTATCTGAAAAAGACTGTATCTTTCCTTCATATATGATGCTTAGTTTTGCTGGATACAAAATTCTTGGCTGATAATTGTTTTGTTTGAGGAGGCTGAAGATAAGGCTCCAATCCCTTCTACCCTGTAAGGTTTCTGCTGATTCGATCTCTGTTAATCTGACAGGTTTTCCTTTGTAGGTTACCTGATACTTTTGTCTCAGAGCTCTTAAGATTCCTTCCTTCATCTTAACTTTAGATAATGTGATGACAGTGTGCCTAGGCGATGATCTTTTTGCAATAAATTTCCCAGGTGTTCTTTGTACTTCTTGTATTTGGATGTGTGGGTCTCTAGCAAGGCCAGGGAAGCTTTCCTTGATTATTCCCCCCAATATGTTTTCCAAACTTTTAGATTTCTCTTCTTCCTCAGGAACACCAATTATTCTTAGATTTGGTTGTTTAACATAATCCTAGACTTCTTGGAGGCTTTGTTCATATTTTCTTATCTTTTTTCTTTGTCTTTGTTGTGTTGGGTTAATTTGAAGACCTTGTCTTCAAGCTCTGAATTTCTTTTTTCTACTTGTTCAGTTTTATTGCTGAGACTTTCCAGAGCATTTTGCATTTCTATAAGTGTATCCAGTGTTTCCTGAATTTGTTATTGCTTTTTCTTTAAGTTATTTATTTCCTTGAATATTTCTCCCTTCACTTCTTGTATCGTTTTTTGGATTTCCTTGCATTGGGCTTTGCCTTTCTCTGGTGCGTCCCTGATTAGCTTAATAACTAACCTCCTGAATTCTTTTTCAGGTAAATCAGGGATTTATTGGTTTGGATCCATTGCTGAGGAACTAGTGTAATTTTTTGGTGGTGTTAAAGAGCCTTGTTTTGTCATATTACCAAAGTTAGTTTTGTGGTTCCTTCTCATTTGGGTAGGCTCTGTCAGAGGGAAGGTCTAAGGCTGAAGGCTGTTGTTCAGATTCTTTTGTCCCATAGGGTGTTCTTTTGATGTAGTACTCTCCCCCTTTTCCTATGGATGTGGCTTGTGAGCTGAACCGCAGTGGTTATTGTCTCTCTTCTGTGTCTAGCCACCCAGCAAGTCTACCCAGCTCCAGAGTTTGTCTGCGCAGAGTCGTGTGATGTGAACTGTCTGTAGTTCTCTCAGCTGTGGATACCAGCAGCTGTTCTAGTGGAGGTGGCAGCAGGTGAAATGGACTCTGTGAGAGTTCTTAGCTTTGGTGGTTTAATTGTCTGTTTTTGTGCTGGTTGGCCTCTTGCTGGGAGGTGGCACATTCCAGAAAGCATGAGCTGTAGTAGTATAGAAAGGAACTGATGGTGGGTGGGGCCCTAGATCTTCCAAGAGCATATGCCCTTTGTCTTCGTTTACCAGGGTGGGTAGGGAAGGCCCATCAGGTGGGGGCAGGGCTAGGTGTGTCTGAGCTCAGACTCTCCTTGGGTGGGTCTTGCTACAGCTGCTGTGAGGGATGGGAGTGAAGTTCCCAGGTCAATGGAGTTGTGTACCTACGAGGATTATGGCCGCCTCTGCTGAGTTATGCAGGTTGTCAGAGAAGTCAGGGAAAGCCGGCAGTCACAGGCCTTACCCAGCTCCCAAGCAATCTGAAGGGCCTGTCTTTCTCCCACCATGCATCCGCCTTAACAACACTAAGTCTGTTTCCAGACAGTGGGCGAGCAGGGCTTGAGAACTTGCCCTGGGCTACCCTCCTCCCAGCTGTGAAAGAAAAGGGCTTTGGTTCTTCCCTTGCCTGTGGAGTCTGCACACCAGATTCACACCCTCCTTTGAGTTCTGGCCAGGAGGCTTCTTGCCTGGTTCAAATTGTTACAGAGTTCAGCTGGAGACTTCCTTCTCCTTGTGGCATTTTCCACGCACTTCTGGCTGCCATCCCAAAGGATCCCTGTGGTGCCAGGCAGGAATGGCCTGCCTGGGGACCCAGCGAGGTCCCAGGGCCTTTCCCACTGCTTTCTCTACCCCTGTATTTCCCTCAGCTCTCTAAATTTACTCCGCTCCAGATAAGGTCAGAAATTTCTCCCACAAACTCGACCTTCAGTTTCCCCAGTGGGTGTATGTTTTTGGGAGAGGAGGATCTCCCTTTCCCACTTCTGCAATTTGGGAACTCACAGCATTTGGAGTGTCTCCCGGGTCCAGCAGGAGCAGTCCGCTTCCTTCAGAGGGTCTGTGGATCCTTTTGGGATTCCTGATTTGTTCTTGAAGTTGTTCTGGAGGTAAAATTCATGATGTGAGCCTACTCATGCTGCTCTGTCTGTCAAAGTCGGAGCTGCAATTTAGTTCTGCCTCCCGTCAGCCATGATGATCTCTCTCCCAATCTCTGTTCATTCTTAATTGTATTTTAAGTTAGGATTTGATCTGCAAAAGATTGGGGCTGGGGGAGACCTGTTCTTTTGCTACAGGTAGTGTGAGAAGCTCTGCTCCACATACTGTGGCTGTTTTTCGGCATCCTTTTCCACTGCTTTTCCTCTGGTTTACTTCACTCTATACTCCTTGCTTTTCCTCAAGAATGTTAGGCAGGCTCTCACATCAGGTCCTTTGAACTTGATTTTCCTCTTTTTCCGAAATACTGTTCTCTCAGACAGGAACATAGCTCCATTTGTCTTTTCCTTTTCAGTTTGCTGATATTTATTATCTACCACCCACTCTTCCTTTTATGCTTACTGGGCCCCTCAGACCAATGGGATGAGAGTGAGCACCCTTGTCTTATTCTTGGCTTTTTGTGGTATTTCTCAGGTTCTGGTACCATGTATATACATTTTTTATACTTTTTTTATAAATGCTCTTTTTTATGTTAATGAATGTTTGCTTTTTTCTTAGTTTACTAAAAATTGTTTTCAGTCATAAGTGTTGAATGCTTTTTCTGCATACATAGTGATAATCATACTTTTTTCCATTTTAACATTTTGTTGGGATATAGTAATAGATTTTTCTAATGGAATCTTTTATCACCAAAACAGATATACAAACATAAAAATAAATAAGAAAAAGAAGATACAGTGTTTTGAACAACTCATTCAGAAGATTCTTCCTGATTTAGATGTCATCTTTTATCCTAAACTATGTGTATTTATTCTTTTTTTTTTTTCAATTAATTACAGCAATAGAGCTATTATATTAAAGCTTCTCAGTTTAGAAGTACTGTTTTTTAGGCCAGGTGCAGTGGCTCATGCCTGTAATCTCAGCAACTTGGGAAGCCAATGTGGGCGGATCACTTGATGCCATGAGTTTGAGACCAGCCTGGCCAATATAGCAAAACCCTACCTGTAGTAAAAATACAAAAATTAGCCTGGCGTGGTGGCACACATGCCTGTAATCCCAGCTACTTGGGAGGCTGAGGCAAGAGAATCTGTTGAACCCAGGAGGCAGAGGTTACAGAGAGCCCAAATCATACCCCTGCATTCCAGCCTGGGTGACTAAACAAGACTGTCTCAAAAAAAAAAAAAAAATACTGTTGTTTGCACTGGTTTATTTTCTTTGGGTACCTACTGTTAACTTTATATTTGTCTAGATAAACTTAAAAATAGGTAGGTTTAATGAGTTTATGTTTCAGTTATTAAGCTTGTGGTAGAATTAACCCACGGTGTGATCAGTGTCTGTTTCTCTTTGAATAAGAAATTTGCCATTGAAATTCCTTTGTGAATAGCTAATGATTTCTTTTGTCTTAGGTGTTTATTATAAACTCATCAAATATATTTCTTCTTGAACCTGCAAATGAAATTAAAAATCTTCTGGATGAGCACACAGATATGTGTAAACGCATTCTTAACATTTATCGGTACATGGTTGTACAAGTATCAATGGACAAAAAGACTTGGTAAAAAAATTTTTTATCCTTTGTGTCTATGTGTTTTTTATTGTGTACACAGGTATAGTAATTTTTAGAGAAATAGTGTCTGTGAAGAGAGCTTGTTTAGAATATTATAAGGGCTGCTATTATTGAATAAATATAAAATTAATCATAGTGACAATAGTTCCTTTCACCTTATCTGAAACATCTTTGTTCAGACTTCCACAAGACCCCTTGGACTATCTTCCTGAAGTGAGCATATAATGGCCTCATCCTCCTCAACCCCTAAGGAATGAATACATGCATACAAACGTATATGAGTAAATGAAGTTTACTTGTATGTGAATGAGTTAATGAATAAGCTGATGATTGACTGAATGCCTGAATCCTTCATCTGGCATTCAGAGCTGTATACCGTCAGGCCCTGCCTACTTTTCCTGTCTGAAGTCTAACCTCCAACTTTCAGGATAAGATCCTGCTTTCCAGCTTTATGAAGTTTCTCTTCCCTGGGCACCTTCTGAACTTTCCTTTAGAATGCCTAATTCTGCTATTTTTCCTATTGTCACCATAACTGTCCCTTAGATTCACCTTCCTGTTTCTATATATCCTTACTTAAATTTTTTTCTTCTCTTGTTTCCATTTTATATTTGTACTTCTGTATAGTTCTTATGAAAACTTTCTTGATCCCTAAAATACTTTTGTAAATGTCTGTTTATCACCATAGAACCGAGAACCCCTAGAAGGTATTTACAGGTTGTCTTATTTTTATATTGCCTACATTTCTGAGTATAGTACATTATATATCATTGGTGCTCTATAAATACTTTTCTAATTGATTGGAAAAATAGACCTTTTGGGGATATGCAGTTCTGCAGTTTTTGTAAAAATGAAATGTTTATCATAAAATTCAAACAAAGAAAAGTTTAAAATAAGAAAAAAGCTCAGAGGTTCACTCTCTAGAGATGTTAGTGATGTTTGTGCTTTGGTGAATATCTAGCTCATCAAACCACACACACAGTTATATAGTATTATACCATATATATATGCCATAATTTTCTTAACCAGTCCTCTACTGATGGGCATGTAGTTATTTGTCTTTGTTTTGGGGCAAAGAGAGGACAATGAACATTCTTATATATATTTCATTTTCCTCTACAGTGACAAAACATAAATTAGGCATATGATTTGAGTAAGTATTCCTAATTTTTTTAAGAAATAAGACTGATTAGTCAAAGCATATGCCTAATTTATGTATAAAATGGCTTTATATTTTGAAAAGATTCTTTACTAACAGTATTAATAGAATTGCATGTAGAAGTAGTTATTATTGTTAACACATTTGGGACAATTATTTGTGCCACGTACCTTTCTAAGCACTTTACACATATTTTCTTACTTAATTCTTACAGCACCCTATGATACAGATAATACTGGGAAGTTAAGTAACTTGTCCTTGTTCACACAGCTATTGAGCAGTGAACAGAGATTTGAACTATAGTTTTTCTGACTTCAGAGCCCAAGTTATTATTAGCCAGTAACTATACTACATTGGACAATTCTTTTGTTAGTCCTTTTTTTTCTTTCTGTATACTTTGAATCATTGATGAGCCAGATTATAGTGACTACCTTGCTATATAGAAAACAATTTTAGAATTTTTGTTAATTTTTTAACTTCCCTTGAAGTAAGAGCATTTTGGGAGGTTTTTCATATATTTTACATTGAATTTTTATATTGAGAGAGACGGTTTCGCTATGTTGCCCAGGCTGTTCTTGAGCTCCTGAGCTGAAGTGATCTACCTGCCTTGAGGTCCTAAAGTGCTGGGATTACAGGTGTGAGCTACCACACCTGGCCAGAATTTGTAAAACTTTATTAATTAAAATCATTTTTATCATATTACAAAGTGAAAAGATTGTATGATTTATGAGTGAGTTATGGTTTGACAACAAACAAATAAGATTTATTTGGAAAATCTATGCTTTATTGCATTTGTAGTTGATTTCAAATAGCTTTTTATTTCGTGTAGCTAAGCTGGAAGCATAAGGTTACAAATGTGGCACCTTTGATTTTTATTCTGTGAATAAATACATACATTTATTTGCTAATATGTCCAGGATATTTTTAACGTAGTGATAGTTTTCTGTTTGATTCTACTCTGACTTCTCAGAAGAACCATGACATCTAGATCTAGGATCTGTTGCTACCCCTTCCACATTTCTCACAGTAACTGTTCCATGTATCACGATGCCTGGAATGGACTTGCAAAATAACCAGAGGGGAGGAGGCTGTGATAGAGAATTGGGCTGATATACCCAACTGAAAGTCCCTTGTTAACCTCTTTTTTATATGTGGTTGAATCAAGTTTTGAAATATCAGTGTAAATAAGGTAATTTTATGGTTTTAATAATAAGCATCTAAGAGAAAGAGACAAGGTAAGGATAATAATAGAATTGGTTCAACTTGCAGTACAGACAAAAAATTAAAGATTAAAAAATGGCATAATGAAAAGAGTGGAAAGAAACAATAGAGTAATGGCCCTTGATTAATTATCAAGCTCACTGCAGACTCAAACTCCTAGGCTCAAGTGATCCCCCAACCTCAGCCTCCTGAGTAGCTGAGACTATAGGCATATGCCACCACACCCAGCTAATTTTTGTTTTTTTTTTAAGAAACAGGTCTTGCTATGTTGCCCAGTCTTCTTTGTGATCTATTAATTAAGATGTCATCTAATTTCTGAAATTGAGATTGGTATGATTCTGAATATGTAGTTATTCTCCATATTATAAAGATGGATTTGATTGGATTCCATCTGGGTGGAACTATATTGTGTAGATGAGTGTTCTTCAGATAGCTCCTTAAGATTGCTACTTGATTTGTGGTTGGGGAGACTGGAGCATTCTCCACATTATCACTTCCGATTCCTCAGCTTTTGAATAGGTTTTTATTTGATGAGAGGATATTGTGGCTGATAAATGATTTTAAATGATTGACGTGGATGTATAAAATGGAATTTTAATTTTTAATATTTAAGGAACTCCAAAAATTTGAAATTGTCTTTCAAAGATGTTTGATATTTGAGTTTTTATAAGAAGTATATATCTGAAAGTTAACTGTTAACCAAATGCAAACATATGCAAGAAGGAAACATTAATCAATCTTTATTTTAAGGGAACAGATGCTGCTTGTGTTGCTCAGAGTCACGGAGTCTGTACTGAAGATGCCATCACAAGCTTTTCTACAGTTCCAAGGGAAAAAAAATATGACCTTGGCAGGTCGACTTGCAGGACCACTTTTCCAGGCAATAAAAATAAATAAATAGATGAATAACTGGATAGATAGGGTTTTTTGTTTTGTTTTGTTTTGTTGTTGTTGTTGTTGTTTGTGTGTCTTTTGAGATTCATTGAACCCTGAACTTGTTACCAGGAAAAAAATGTTTTAAATTAGAGATTATTTCTTATTTATTAAGGGATCTTTTGTAGAGCTAACTTAAAAGTTGCTTATCTAAATAAGCTATTTGCCCTACATACAACCTAGTATGAGTGGAGGTAATATCAGATCTGTGAACAAGCAGGCTAATGATATTTATTTTATCTCTTGTGTGGTATACATAATGTGTGGTTGCAAAAACCTAGCAGTGTTTTAGAGATAATGACCTGACTGCTTTATGAGTTTCCATATCTCTGGGACTACTAGGAAAAACTGTCTTTTTGTGTTATTCTGTAATAATGAAAAAACAATAAATAATTAAGATTGATTCTTACCATGCTTTCTTTTAATAAGACTTTAGTATCCTCCCTTCTCAATTGGTGGTAGTTTGATTACACAGAAATTCTATATTGTTTTTTAAATCTGAGGATAGAGTGTTGACTTGAAATGTATTATGGATTCTTTGAAAAATAGAAAACAAAATATTGCTTTTTAAGATGATACATGAAATACAAATACATGATTCTTAATGTCAAAGGTAAAAGCTGTCTCAGATCTAATTCTTGGCCATGAGTGTAGCCATTTAAATTGGTTGGAGTTCTTTTTTCATATATTAGCCATTTACCTAAAATTATATGCTGGTGTTGAACAGTCCTTTAAAACCAGCTACATGTATCATCTAAACTCCTCTTAACTTCATTAACCATTTTTTGTTTTTTCATTCAAGTTTACCCATTGTTAGAGCTAACCTGATGGTGGGAGCTACAGGAAGATAAAATTTTATCTTGCTATGTGAAACAACTTTTTTTTGTAGTCTGAGTATTAAAGTAGTCTTTTATTTTTTTTGGTAGTCTTTTTTTTTTGTAGTCTGAGCATTAAATTAAAGATAGATTGGGAGGTCACTAGTTACTACAGGTCTGTACTTAAACTCTGTTCATTTTCCTCTTTACATTTCAGGTATGAATTTATGTGAATTCCTTTCTAAATGTTGTAGAATTAAGCTTTTGAGAATCTTTATTTTATGACTTGTTTCTTTCATCAGAGGACATATCTTTAGTAGAAATCCGCAAAATCTCAGGGGGTACTGGCTAATCAGTTTCTGTCCTTTTATGAATTTTTTTATCCTGTGATCAGATTTATTACAGAATGCTTTTAATTTAAAATTTAATTTCAATCTTTACATATACATTTTCAAAAATGCATTTGATTAAGTTAAATATATCTCTATTATGTTGTTTCTTTATATTATTAAAAAACATTTTCAAGTTGTGGTTAGTGATTTCCATCCTTAATTTGGGAATGTAAGTTTTGGTTTTTTAGTTCAGTAACTCAACATTTTCAACACTTAAAAGTATGGAGACTATTTTTTAAATAGTATTTATTTAACATTAATGTAATGCAGCATAAGAGACAATTATAGATTTAGGGAGATTCCTTTTTAGTTTAGATTGCTGGATGTTGGGAGTTGGCAGTTGTTGAAATGAAATTTATAGTAGATTCTGACAATTACATGAATTGCTTTTACAAGTATTATCTACTAAAAAAAGCATGAGATTTTAAATTTTGCTTGTTTTTAAGTATTTTTTAAAGAATTGAGTATCTGATTTTGAAGTCACACACTGAACACATCTTACTGTTATTTCTGATATTTGTCTTTGTAGACCCTTATAGTTGCCTGGATCAAAGCAAACCTAAATGTGTACATCTCCCGAGAACTTTGGGATGACTTACTGTCAGTACTGTCATCGTTGACCTATTGGGAAGAGTTGGCCACTGAGTGGTCACTGACTATGGAGACATTAACTAAAGTTTTAGCTAGGAATTTATATAGTTTGGATCTCAGTGATTTACCATTGGATAAGCTGAGTGAACAGAAACAAAAAAAGCACAAAGGGAAAGGTAAGAATTGTTCATAGAGATGCTTTATATAAATTTGTTTAAATAATTGAGTCAGGGAAAACCATTCCAGGGAGAGGGTGAGGGTGAAATAAGTAGAATCTTAAATATTTTATTTTTAAGAATTAAACAAAATGAAAATGTATAAAATACGATTCCTTTTTATCATAAGCAGTTTTTTCTTAGAACTGAGAAGGTGGTTTCATGTTACTCTATTTAAAATGTACATAATAATTATTTTAAAAATGGTTTTTGAAAGCACTTACTTAGTTTTAACTAAAAGCAAACATTCCCTAGACATGAAATATGTGTCTGTCTAATGTTAAAAGGGAGTGGGGCAGTAGTGTAATGATAATATCATTAATATACGTTTTTTAAAAACTCAGTTTGTTAGGATTTTGCCCTTCCCCCCCCCTCCCAAGACAGGGCCTCACTCTGTTGCCTAGGCTAGAGTATAGTAGCACAATCATGGCATACTGCAGCCTCGACCTCCCAGGCTCAAGGGATCCCCCTGCCTCAGCTTCCCAAGTAGCTGGGACTACAGGCATATGCCACCGTGCTCAGCTAAATTTTTTTGTTTGTATTTCTTGTAGCGACTTGGTTTCACCATATTATCCAGGCTAGTCTCGAACTCCTGGGCTCAAGCAATTTGCCCACCTCCACCTCCCAAAGTGCTGGGATTACAGGTGTGAGCTACTACACCCAGCCAGTATTTTACATGGTTAAATATTAGTTGTTAGCTAGAGTTTACATCTAAGTCACATTTCATACTTTTGTCCAGGGTATTATGTGCTTAAACTACTTTCTCCTGGACTGTATTTCCCAAGTGGCTATTACTGGCAGATTAGAGATTTAGTAACCATCACCGCAGGATGGATTTTGTTTAGCACATTTCCTGTCTTTTTTTCTTGTCTAAATGTTTCATTTTTATTCCAAAGCAAGTGGGTGGCGGAGAATTTCTAATAGCTTATTGCTAATGGTGTAATTTTAAAATTCTGCATCAGTTTGGGATATGATTTATACCTAAAGTGAAGCTCATAAAAGCCTTGCAGTACATAGCGTTTTATCTTACTACTTTATAATTTATGTAAGCAAACCTAAGACTCTGAGGCAAGGTAGCACACATAACTTGAAGATATTATTGATCAAGTAACAGTATATTGAGATTGAAAATCTACATTTCTAGGAGTTGGACATGAATTTCAGAAAGTTTCAGTTGACAAGTCATTTTCTAGAGGATGGAGTCGTGATCAGCCTGGCCAAGCCCCAATGAGACAGAGGAGTGCAACAACCACTGGTTCTCCAGGAACCGAAAAGGCGAGAAGTATAGTACGGCAAAAAACTGTTGGTATGTACTCTTGAAAATCATGAGAATGGTACAGGGCGCTACATTTATAGTCCCTGGTAACAATTTATATCAATATATCATTTTTCTTACCAGTTGATTGTTGTGAAATGAAAAACTGCCATAGCAAAGCCGTTTTTCCAGAAGTACTCAGAGTCTTGTTATATCCTATGTTATCCCTTTATGCTATTAAGATTTATCAGACATTATGTGGTTTGTTTTACTGTAGAGAGCCGTAATTTTAAAATGTTATTTTACAGAATTGAAGAATTAGAACTGTGATTCACTTTACAGAACTCAAGCATTAACTGGTATAGTTTCATTAAAGGAATTTGCTCACAAATATGGAAAATTAGGGTAGCTAATTTCCAGTGCTACATTTATATAGTAGATTAGTTTCACGAACTTCCAACAAGAATCTCATTTTCTCTGCTGGCAGACAGCTGAGGCCAACATGGAGTCTATTCCTGAGTTTCTTGCTGCCTTTAACAAAAATGGAAGAACGTTCTATAACCTGGGAAACAGCAACAAAGGAACAATGTTGGGAACAATTTCTGGGCATAAAATCGCACAGCATACTGTGGAATTAGCTACCATCTCATTCCTTTTTCTCAGAGGTTTATAAACTTGGCTGAATTATAGTAGAAAGAGAACTGTAATGAGAAACAAGGAGGGCTTTTTCCTAATCTCTTTTCTTACTTCTCTTTGATCACTACATAGCTAGGTAACCCTGGACAGTCTACCAAATGTTTGTAGGCTTTTTTTAAAAGAGAGATCTCACTCTGTTGCCTTTGTTAGATCGTAGCTCACTGCAGCCTTGGACTCCTGGGCTCAAAGTGATCCTACCTCATCCCTCCCCTGAGCCTCTTGAGTAGCTGGGACTATAGGCGCATGCCACCATGCCAGGATAACTTTATTTTTCATAGAGACAGGGTCTTGCTATGTTGCCCAGGCTGGTCTTCAGTTCCTGGCCTTAAGTAGTCCGCTCACTTTGGCCTCCCAGAGTGCTGAGATTACAGGTGCGAGCCATGGCACCCAGCCTTTTCTAGGCTTTTTAAGTACTTCAGCTGTGTAGTGGGAATGATAATACTGCTCATTCCTGAAACAAAATTGCCTGAAGTTATTCCAGGGTTTACAATCAGTGCTTCTATGGAAAGAGAATTTTCCATGGGAATGTATCTGTATTTAATGGTAATCAGTGAAAAACACTTAATTTTAGAGAAATTTAAAGTCATTATTGTAAGGATACATCTTGTATAAAAAATTAGGTTCTAAAGTGTTAAGAATTATGGTTTGAAAGGAAGAAACAACTAGAAAGAAAATAAGAGAGTAAAGATTTTAAAAATTAAAATACATGGTTAATGTAAAATCCTTTAAAAGGATAACATATTCAGAATTGTCTTATGCTTTTAAAATAAGCATAGAATTACATTGATTGTATGTTCCAAGCTAGAATAATAAGACAATACATAAGGAAAAAGTTATTGTAGTATGAAAATGAATATAATGGGAATTTTACTATAAAATTACTTTTTGGAATCCTAAGGAAAATGATTATATTTGAACTGCCTTCCTTCATTTTATATTAATGTCACAATTATAGAAAATATTTGTGTATTAAGAAGAAATTGTTGGCTGGGTGCGGTGGCTCATGCCTGTAATCCCAGCACTTTGGGAGGCTGAGGCGTGCGAATCATGAGGTCAGGAGTTCAAGACCAGCCTGACCAACATGCTGAAACCCCGTCTCTACTAAAAATACAAAAAAAATTAGCCGAGCGTGGTGGCATGTGCCTGTAAGCCCAGCTACTCGGGAGGCTGAGGCAGGAGAATCGCTTGAACCCGGGAGGCAAAGGTTACAGTGAGCAGACATCAAGCCACTGCACTCTAGCCTCGGGCAACAGAGGGAGACTCTATCTCAAAAAAAAAGAAGAAATTGTTCTTTTAAGTGTAAATTTTTATTTTATTTAAATCTCATCTTTTTAAAAAAGTACATTTTTTTTTCTGATTATAGACGTAATTTATGCTTAGTGTGGAAAGTAACATTTAGGGAAGCATAAAGACCCATTAGCTGTCTAATGAGAAGTAATCATTGTTAACATGTTGGCATATATCTTTGTAGTCTTTTACATAGCATTTAATGAGTGAAATATTCATGCTGACTTCATAGCTCATGGTGATTACTTTCTAGTTGTACTGATGTCAAAACAGCCTTGTCTGAACTGAACAAGCCTATGAAACAAAGTTAAAGCCTTAAAAATTTGTTGAGAAAGGTACCTGCATAAAGTTCAAAAAAGGGGCAGCAGATTAAATTAGGATGTTCTTTGGGCATATTTTTAAAAATTTTTAACATTAGTGTTTTTTTTTCTTTCTGAGACAGAGTCACCTAAGCTAGAGTGCAGAGGTGCAATCTCAGCTCACTGCAGTCTGCCTCCTGGGTTCAAGTGATTCTCCTGACTCAGCCTTCAGTAGCTGGTATTACAGGCACACACCACCACACCCAGCTGATTTTATATTTTTAGTAGGGATGAGATTTAACTATGTTGGCCAGGCTGGTCTTGAACTCCTGACCTCAAGTGATCCACCCGCCTCAGCCTCCCAAAGTGCTGGGTTTAACATTAATTTTTCCAGCCTGGGCAACATGGCAAAACTCTATCTCTACCAAAAAAATACAAAAAAGTTAGCCGGGTGTGCTAGCACATGCCTGTAGTGCCAGCTACTTGGTGGACTGAGGTAGGAAGATCTCTCGAGCCCAGGAGGTTGAGGTGGCAGTGAGCTGAGATCACACCACTGCACTCCAGCCTGGATGACAAAGTGAGACCCTGTTTAAAAAAAAAAAACAAAAAAAAAAAAAAAAAAAAAAAAAACACACATCCATTTTATTTATTTATTTATTTATTGGGATGGAGTCTCGCTCTGTTGCCCAGGCTGGCGTGATCTCAGCTCACTGCAACCTCTGCTTCTGGGTTCAAGCGATTCTCCTGCCACAACCTCCCAAGTAGCTGGGACTACAGGCATGTGCCACCATGCCTGGCTAATTTTTGTATTTTCAGTGGAGACAGAGTTTCACCATGTTGGCCAGGCTGGTCTCAAACTCCTGACTTTAGGTGATCCACCCACCTCGGCCTCCCAAAGTGCTGGGATTACAGATGTGAGCCTCTGTGCCCAGCCTTTATGTTCTTCATGAATGTACATGGTTAAAAATTTAGACTGTGATTAAGTGTATACATTGTAGTAAGTCTCCCTCATCAGTATTCCCCACCCTCCCATTTCACCTCACTAGAGGCAACCACTATTACCAGTTTCTTGAGCATCCTAAAGATACTTTATGTCTATACAGGCTTATAGCATAACATATACAATCTTGTGAATCATGGCTTTACACATGTGAATGAAAAACAATTCCTTTAAGTACTTACCATAAAATTGCTGTTCTATGCATTAAGGATATAGTTCTGAACAAAGCAAGTAAATTCCACCGGGGCTAACAATTCTAGTGTTGGGGAAGAAATATAATAAGCAAATAAACCAGTAAACATGTCATGAGGTAGTAAAGTTATGAAGAAAAGTCAATCAGGATAAAGGAATAGAAAGTGTTGGAGCTAAGGACATAGGACTGTTTTAAGTAGGGAGGTCAGGGAAAGCTTATTCTATCCTGTAAGAACAAAGACCTGAATTGGGAAAGTGCATTCCAGGCAGAAGGAAAAGTGAAAGTCCCAGAGCTAGGAATGTGCTCTAGGGCTTTTGAGTGTTTGAGGAGGAGTAAGGAAAGAAGAGAGTGTTAGGAGATGAAGTCAAGCTATAATGATATATCTTAAAGATTATTATATATCAGAAAAATGTTGGCCAGGCACAGTGGCTCACACCTGTAATCCCAGCATTTTGGGAGGCCGAGGCAGGAGGATCAGTTGAGGCCAGGGATTTGAGACCAGCCTGGACAACATGGTAAAACCCCATCTCTACTAAAGATACAAAAATTAGCTGATCGTGCTAGTACACGCCTGTAGTCTCTAGACCCTGCTACTCAGGAGGCTGAGGCAAGAGAATTGCTTGAACCAGGAGGCAGAGGTTGCAGTAAGCCAATATTGTACCACTGCACTCTGCAGAGCGAGACTCTTGTCTCAAAAAAAAAAAAAAAGTTGAACTTCCTATATCATAATTACATGGAAGTACTATAATTTAACCTATCTCCTGAAGATGACTATACATTTTGTAATTTTGTGCTATTAAAAATGGTGCAGAATAGGCTGGGCACAGTGGCTTATTCCTGTAATCCCAGCACTTTGGGAGGCCGAGGCAGGAGGATCACCTGAGGTCAGGTGTTCAAGACTATCATGGCTAATACGGTGAAATCCCATTTCTACTAAAAATACAAAAAATTAGCCAGCGTGGTAGCGTGCGCCTGTAATCCCAGCTACTCGGGAGGCTGAGGCAGGAGAATTGCTTGAACCCGGGAGGCAGAGGTTGCAGTGGGCCGAGATCGCACCATTGCACTGCAGCTTGGGCAACAAGAGCGAAACTCCATCTCAAAAAAAAAAAAAAAAAATGTATAGAATATACTTATGTATTCTTCTATATTTTGTGCATATATGCAAGTATATCTATAGGTTAAGTCTGTAGGGTTTGAAATTAATTTGCCCTCTAAAGAGAGGAACCTTTGTAGCCTTAATAGATTTAAGCAAGGATCATTAGTAGATATCAAAAACATTAGTAAGTAAAGGATTGCTTGGGAAGAGGATATTCACTTGTTGCCAAGGACTATCTTACAGATTATTTATATTTGCAAAGGATAAATATATCTTTACAATGGAGGGATCTGGAATCAAGCCATTATACCTAACTTCTAGTTTATAGTATATATAGGAGATAGAAGAACAAATTAAATGACTCCAAGAGAAAATAATTGAACAAAATTAGAATGTAGTACATTTTATGAGACAACTGGTCTAGCCTCTTCAAAAGCACAGTATCATTTTTAAAAAGTTGAGGTGGGATCTGTTTTAGGC